CGTCTGAAGCATTTAATGCCTCTAAAAACTCCCTCACAGAAAGTTATTGCATGAAATGGTTATGGAATCACTGCCTGATGGGTGAGACATTGTTTTATGACAGCACTGAGATATGGTTATGAATCATAACCTGTTTTTTAAATCTGTTCCTTGCGAAGAGGTACATGCAGGCCTTTTTTTGTATTTACAGCTGATTTACCATCATCAACATTATATACACAACAGCTCAGAAGACACGTGGAGGTTCACTGGTCTTTTTAGGCAGTGAATAAAATGGCTATATTTGTGCTGTTTGTGACATCAGGACCCCTGGTTCCTGTCACCACCACTGTAAAGACCTCAGAGTTGGTAGGTGTCTCTATGATGAACCATGTAACATCAAACCACTATGAATGATTTTGTTTACATAGCTAATTTGCTTACTATTCATCTCTTTAGCTAGCTGGGAAAAACAGTTACCTTAGCTGTATGATTGTGGGAGGAACATCTGGACAAAAATCTAGTGTCAATCTTTTAACCTAGTCCCTATGCTATGCTAGGATGGCACTGCTAATGCAATTGCATCAACAGATGGGCTACAGCCATAACACCAGCAAGGTGGAGCTACAAGGGATTGGGACAATGAGTGGATAACTGTAACTATAGGAGTGTAAAACTGACAGTGGGGAACCCTCAGCGTCCTCCAAGTCTTCAAAGGTTTCGGTGAAATAAAAAAATACATTTTTGTTAAATATAATCGCCATATTTAAACTCTGCAAATAGTGTTGTAGTAATCTTAAGTTTAGGTTGGAAACTAAAGGGTTAAATGCTTGACAGAAAATGATCCAATCAGGGTTTTTTTCACTGTCTAGGTGGATACAGCCAAATGAGCTTTCCCATTGGTTAGGACTTCAGGAGCTGCACTGAAAGGCTAACATTTCAGATTAGCCACCAACATAATTAGGAACTTCTGGATTCACCTGATTACATTTTAATTTCCATTGTGCGGGATCTCTTGGCTGACTGCACAGACCAATGTGTTTCAGTCAGATCAGCCAAAACAGCAGCAGAGCTCTGAAGGAATCACTGTGAAACTGGTACAAGGTAAAGTCTGTTAATATGTCTGCTACTTCAAATGAAACATGAAATGTCTTTTACAAGCTTCAAATGTCCATGTTTAAACTAGAATGGCCAAAAAAGTGTTCATGAATCGGCATTAGCTTAGTGCTAACATACTACTAGAATCCCACAGGGGTGCTAGCAGAAACAAGCATTATCACAGAGGTGTTTATTTCCTCATTTTTGACTGAGTTTTGATATTTATGGCCCGACCTGAAGTCCTATCTCTAATAATGTCAGTGTTCAATCTAGAACAGGCAAAAATTTCATATGAATTAGCATTAGCTTAGAGCTAATATACTACTAGAATCCTATTAGGGTGATAGCAGAAATCAGCATTATTATAGAAATGTTTCTTTCCTCGTTTTTGGCTGAGGGTTGACATTTATGGCCCGAACTGAAGGCCTAGCTCTTTTAATGTCAACATTTAATCTAGAACAGGCAAAAATTTTCATATGATTCAGCATTAGCTTAGTGCTAACATACTACTAGAAACCCATAACGGTGCTAGCAGAAATTAGCATTATTTTAGAGGTGTTTCTTTCCTCGTTTTTGACTGAGGTTTGACATTTATGGCCCGAACTGAAGGCCTAGCTCTTTAAATGTCAACATTTAATCTAAAACAGGCAAAATGTTCATATGAATTAGCATTAGCTTAGCGCTAACATACTACTAGAATCCCATAGGGGTGCTAGCGGAAATTAGCTTTATTGCAGAGGTGTTTGACATTATGGCCCAAACTATCTCTAATAACATCAGCGTTCAATCTAGAACAGCCAAAAAGTTCATAAGAATCAGCATTAGCTTAGTGCTAACATACTGCTAGAATTCCATAGGGGTGCTAGCAGAAATCAGCCTTATTGTAGAGATGCTTTTTTCCTTGTATTGACATTTATCCCCTCAACTAAAAACCTCCAATAGTCACAATTTGCCTGCAAAGACTGAAGATCAGCTTTACTATACCAAGTGACACAAGGCATGGGTACATTTTAAGTTCTGGGGCTCTCTGTGTGTTTTTGAATGTATTTCTGCTCCTAAATCTCCAGATAAGAGAAATAACCGTGAGAAGAAGAGTTTGTGGATGTTCCAGCATCCTGCCTTGGATCTACACAGGCCCTCCCCACAATCCTCGGGAGGCCAAGCACAGCTGACAGCAGTTTGGTGTGAGACGAATGAGGGCAGCTCTATTTGGAGCAGGCCGAACGAGTGAGCAGACCTGCTTTCAAATCCAGAGGGAAAATCTCAGCGGGCTGCAGAGTCAGAAAGGCCAGCAAAAAGGCACAAATTGACATACAGTGCTCAGGAATCAAGTTCCATGCAAAGAACTGACTCAAAATGGATTTAGATTTTTTTTTTTATTTAAAATCACAATGTACATATGTATACATACGAATCTGATTGCCCTGAATATAGAATCTATTAAAGGTACAGTTTGGCAAGAAACCCAATTTTTTACTTACCCCAGATGTACACGATTAGCCAAGACTGTTGTGAGTACCAATTTTGTTTTGTTTTTTTTTTTCATTTAGAACTGAAGCTACAAAGCTAATGTTGCTAACAAACACTAGAATTCAATAGTCACCCAAATAGTTTCTGTGAAAATCCCCAACATTTCTCTCAAACAGTTTCCTAAACTACATAAGCAATTCTTCACAAGCTTAATGGAGACACAGTTTGAGTGGGTTGAAAGAAGTTTCGGTTATTTTTACAGCAATGATTTGGGCTGTTTGGGTGACTATTGAGTTCCAGTGTTTGTTAGCAACATTAGCCATGTATCAACCAATCAACCACATCGAGGGTAAGTGGAAAAATGTATAAATTGGTGCCAAACTGTTCCTTTAAACTCCCCAAGCATATTTCTTAAACCATTTCTTCTACTTTATTGGTAAAATTAAACATATCATAGCACAACTGGAACTAGCAATGCACTGTTATTCAAAAATTAGCATTTCACAAATTCAGTTCTAAATGTAGCCTATACTTTAGATGTCAAACTGCATTACTGGGTGACCGTGGCAACGCCAAGCATTTAGCTATTCTAATTCAACTCAAGATTGGCTCAAAAATAAATTAGTTTTAGTGGGTTATAACTGGATGCTAAAGCTGGCAGCGCCGTGGCCCTTCGGGAATGCTCTTTGACATATTTGTTGTAGACTATGCATAGAAAGTTTTCACATCCCTTCAAAAATTTCACTTTTTGTAAGTCAATTTTTTTTACATTGGTCAACATCCAACCACATAACCTCCACGTTAGCAAACTATAGTGCAGACTTGAGTTTGCTCTTCTCAGAACACTGGACACCAGTTGAGGGATTTGACACGGATTCAAACCACTTATATCACTTTGTTTAGATTATAATAGGGTAAATTCCTTTTTGATGATTGCCTAATTGAAAGCGCCTAATATATGCGCCTAATCTTCAGAGAAACATTTATTGAACTTAATGTCTGTTTTGCTGGAAATAAAATAAATGAAAGGTGGGCTACAGGACATGTGGTGTAATCCTGAAGCTTAAGCTTATTGAGGAAGGCAAAATATCTTAAAGATTATACCACTAGATCAGTTGCCTTGCTACTATTATACAAGCAAAGGGGCATATTGTATACAACAGGCCTAAAATAGTCCCTGGTTATCCATTAATCTGGGTTGTGTTGTGACTGTCGTTCAGAAACCATAACATTTGATCTAAATGACATGCAGCAAGTTAAATTTTGTTTAAACAAAGATCATCTCTTAAAAAAAGCCAAGAAATAACTGCGGTGAAGCATGGTGGTGGTAGCCTTACAATATGAGATTTCTGTCATTTTACTTAAGTCATCATGTTCTAGTTCGAATTAAGGGTGACAGACTTAGCATTGTATTGAAGATTGATTTGATGACATGGAACCAAAACTACGCCTCAACAGAAAAGTAATGGACCTTGGTTCTTAGTAAAGGCCAGGGCAAAAATCCTCTTGAGAACAGAAGCATGACCTGAAAGATCTAAAGAGTGATGTTCTTTATGAATATTTATATACCAAAACAGTGGCTAGTCAGGTTTGTAAAAATAAATGCTCCTAAGGGGTTCATAGGTTGGATGTATGATCCTAGGAAAAAACTGTAATTGGCATAGAACCTTTATATAAGGTTGCGGTTCTTTTCATAGCAGCCTTAGACACTCTGTTCAGCTATGAACTATGTAATCTGTGGCACACTAAGTTGTCCACATCGGGATTTTGTCAGGTGCATTCTGCCTGGCATGTCTGTGAATATGTATTTCTATGCACTGGTTCTAATCTGCTGATGAGAAACGGTTTTGAAAACAGTCCTGAGTCTTTTTAGAGAAATATGCAATATTAATATCTTTACTAGGTATTTGATCATTTTCCTTTGAAGCCTAGCAAGCGGGATATCCTCACATGTTTACTGACACATACCAGTTTGTTTCCAATAGGTTTGTTTTTGTTGTAGCGCCATTGAAAAAAGTGATCTGTGGTTGTTTATTTTAAATATCAGTCAAACGGCCCCTTCCTGTCAAAGTAGGCCTTTTTTACCACATGGAGCGACAAAATATACCAGACTAGAAGTCCAGCTTGTGAGACTAAGGTTCTTTAAGCTTTAAAGGCTCTTCATGCTCACATCTCATTTACAAAAGTGGTTCTTCAAAAGAACCATCCATTATAAGGTTCTTTAGGGCATCCAAAGTGGTTAATTAATGATACTGCTCCAAAGAACCCATTTTGGCAAGTTCATGGACACATTCCGACAGGACTTGAAGCTGTTCCTTAAAAACAGAACGTCAAGTCATAACTTCGGAGGGTGAATGTTTCTGAAACACTTTGGTTCATACATTTTTTGTGTTTGGCTGGACAGCACATGTTGGTTGTGACGGTCCACTTGTGTGGGTGTGGGATTAGGTGGGCATGTCTTCATTTATGATCAAGGCACTTGGGAGACTGATGCAATAAAGTGTTAAAAGGTTGAAAGGTGTGAATACTTTCTTTATGGTCTATATGCTAACAGGGTTTGGCTTTGACAGAATTGCTAATTTCAGATGGAGTTTGGTAAGATGTGCATGTCTTACAACATCCTTGAGGTTCCCTGCAGTCACGAGACCCTCAAGCTTCATTCTGTCGTTACGACTGCGGCCGTGTTAATAGCTTCTCTTTCTTCACTTGTTCATATGCTGACCTTCAGTGTGACCCTGCTCGCTCTCTCTCCAAGATACATATCCTCATTTTAAAATACATCTCTTAAAAATTCACTTAAGTTTAATTTTTACATGGTATGAGTCGCCATCTGATTCTGTTTGTACTTCATCAACTAGTATCAGACTTCCCCTTTTTCCTTACACTCTCCTTTATCTTTGTCTTTTGCACTCTTGTCCGGCTCTTCCTTTGATTCAGCCCTCTCCTCATCATCCTCCCCTGGAAGGTCACGTGGCACAGTGGGAGCCTGTAACCTCACCTGTGACCTCAGACGTTGACTGTTGCTCCAGCTGGTCTGATTTGGTGTCGTCTGGCATATCTGAGGATGGACAAAGAGTTCAAAAGTTCAGAAGGTCTTTGATTAGCATAAACCTGCTTTTGCTGCTCAAGTGCTCGAGCTTAAGGACCTGGAGCTTAAAAAAGACGACGTATAAACCTAAAATGGTTGAACTTCAGAAGCTGAAAATGGTTCTTGGCTAGAAAAGACCTGCATTTACCTTGCATTATGTGAACGTTGGGGTTTTATCTGGTCTAATTTAGCTATCTTTGCTTAGCTTATGTCAATGTTCTGCATGGCATGGACACTGTGCCCCTTCAAGAAAATTGTAGACACCTGTAGACTACTGTATGGGCAGCAATGTGGGTGGGTCGGTGGATGGACAGATGTATAGGTGAACAGTGCTGGGATAGTCACTCAAAAGAAATAAACTACCACCACCACACCTTTTATGGACTATCATTTTCTCCTGTCTTCTTCCTTTTATTTTTCCATTTGGCTTACAGTTCATTCAATAGTGCAAGTGTAATGTAATGCATTACAGGTAGGGGTGAGGCTGTGTATCCTCAATAATATGCAATAGAGGTCTGCACTGGATTTTTTTTTTTCAGTCCCGCTCCCATCTGCTCGCGCATGATTTCATCCCACTCCTGCCTGCACCCGAAAGGTTTTGTCCCGCTCCCCGCCCGTGCTATTTCATCAGGTGAACTGAGATCCAATATCTGACAGCCTATTCACAAATACATTATCCTCTGCTAAAATAACACAGCAATCATGGTTATCAGGCTCCCTGTGAAGTAACTTCACCTAATGCCATTTATTCCCAATAAACACAAAGCAGGAATTAAACCACAGAGTGGCTATTTTGGTGTTTTGCTGGGCAGCTGTGGCCGTCGGACTGAAGGCTCAGCGTCTCTTTAAGAATGTGTGTGTTGCTCACGTGATTGGCTGCTGCCAAACTCTTTTGAATGACTTTCACTGTTATCATGTTATATTGTTTGATTTAGTGATTGTTCTACTTTATTTAGGCTGTTCATTAATTTGCAGGATGTCTTTTCATGCACGCTTCATCAGATATTGTGGCAGGTCCTGCAAGTCCAGTGGGAGTGCAAACCTCTAATTTGCAAAACGATGTGTTAAAGTATTTATTATACATTGTTAGAATGAATTTTTCAAAGAGCAGGCCAATTATGTACTAACACAAATCCTAATGAATAAAGCTGAATGCATAGTGATTAAACCTTTTAGAAGTGTCTAATTTTGCTGAACACAGAACAGGGCCTGTATGTGCTCCTGAGTCAGTTACAGTAAACATCATTACCATTATTATAAGATGTCAGTATCACTGCCATTGAACAAGACACAGCCAGTGATGCCAATTAAACTGATGAATAGCCAAAATGGATGAAAACCTTGAAACTAGTCACTAGAAACAGCTCAAAAACGGCTTGAAATAAAACGTTTATGAAGCACAGAGATCTTTATCCATCAGTTTCACAATAGAGTGATTAGATGCTTTGACAGCTTGTTCAGAGATTACAGTGGTATAATGTGTAACTTAATTACAAGAGTTTTAACTGTAATATGACTACTTTGCATCAGGAAAATGTCATAACATTACTGTAACGGGTTACTTTGTGCCGCATTACCCCAACACTGTATCTTACCTCTGACAGAGTTGTGGGCTTTGTCTTCATTTTCTGAGGATTCTGAACGGGGGCTGTCAGCGCCAGCCATTGGTGATCGCATTTCAGCTTGCCTCTTTTGAACTGAGGCAAAATCCACAGTTAAAGAGGGAGAAGAGAGAGAGAGAGAGAGAGAGAGAGAGAGAGAGAGAGTGAGAAAGAGAGAGAGAGAGAGAGAGAGAGATCAGTTTAATATCACAAACCAGCCACCACAATTTGTGCTCATTTTTATAGATAACAGTACATGGAGTAGAGAACCCTCAGAGCTTTGAAAGCTTTCAGAGAAGGTTTAATGATTTCCAGTAACTAAATAATACATGTGTGTATTTTTGGAACCAATTTTGTGTGAAAAAGTCACTCTAGGTCTTCTGTAAGTCCTAGACACGTCATTGACTGTGAATATGAGCTGTAACTAGGTTTTCAGTTATTATAAATGCAAAGTAGAATATGTTTATGTCTATTACAAGCTTCAAATTAAACAGATGGAACGTCTAGAATATGGAATCGCAAGCATCAAATGTCTGTGTTGAATCTAGAACGGCCAAAAAACGTTAACATTGTGCAACATAGCATTAGAAATCCTGTAGAGGAGCTAGTAGGAGTTAGCTTTATCATAGTGGTGTTTTGTTGGTTCTCATGTTTTCACATTTATGGCCCAAACTGAAAGCCTATCTCTAATAGCCATTTGTCCTCAAACACCACAACACAATTTGTCACACAACACCAGAAACAACCTAACCAAGACTATTTAATATTATTCAACAACTTGACAAGGTTTAAAGGAAATATGTGATACTTTAGGCATGCAGTCTACTTGATTTCATTGTTGTTAGATAGATTAACCTCGTAGCTCCAGTGTAGAACTAAAGACACAGACATTAAAAAGAAAGCAGGTCATGCTGATCAACATGTGACGAAATTTGTCCTTACTCTGTCCGCTATCTGCATTTTCTGCACTCTTGTTCATTCCATCGCTTGATTCAGCAGGTGCCTCATCATCTTCCCCTGGAGCGTCATGCAGCAGGGTGGAGCCTGTATCCTCATCTGTGACCTCGGGTGCTGAGTGATGCTCTGATTGGTCAGATCTGGTGTCGTCTGGCAGATCTTTGAAAAAACATTGTTGGATCAATATAAGTCCTATAGAAAATGTCCATTTCTATTGATTCCCAGTGAATTCAGAGGAATTCCACTCATATTTTAAATTATATGGATAATTCAATCACTGAGATGTAAAAAAATCATTCAGATGGTTTGATGTGAAATAGTTCATTGTGGAGAAATTTACATATTCAGATGTCTTTACAGTGTGGCTGGATAGCTGACTGAATGACTGATTGACTGGGTGGATGGGTGGATAAAAAGATGGATAGATGAAAAGATGGATGGATGACTGTATTATTAGAAGGATGGATGGATGGATAGTTGAAATAATGATGGATAGATGAATTGGATGGATGGATGAATATTTAGATTAATTGATGGATGGATGAATGAATGGAAGGATGGATGGATTGATGGATTGATGATAGATGGATGGACAGATTTCCAGAAGGATGTTTGGATAGATGGATGGATGGATGAAGGGATAGATGGATAGATTGATAATGGGTTGAAAGATAAATGGATGGATGGATGGATTGATGGATGAATTGATGGAAGGATGGATGGATTTATGGATTGATGATAGATGGATGGACAGATTTTTGGAAGGATGGTTGGATGGATGGATGGATAGATGGATGGATAGATGAAGGGACAGATGGACAGATTGATAATGGGTGGAAAGATAAATGGATGGATGGATGATAGGAGAATAGATGGATGGAGGGATGGACAGATGGATTGATGATATATGGATGAATGGATGGATGAAGGGGTAGAGTGACAGATTGATGATGGGTGGCAAGATAAATGGATGGATGGATGAGTGGATGGATGGGTGGGTGGTTAGAAGGATGTATGTATGTATGGATTGATCATAGATGGATGGACAGATTGGGATAGACTGACAAATTGATGATGGGTGGAAATGAGTAGAAAGATAAAGGATGGATGTATTGTTGGGAAGATGGATGGATGGATAAATGAAATAATGATGGATGGAAGGATGGATGGATTGATGATGGATGGACAGATTTTCAGAAGAATGTTGGATGGATGGATGGATAGATGGATGGATGGATGGATGAAGGAATAGATAGATGGATTGATAATGAGTGAAAAGACAAATGGATGGATGGATGGATGGATTGATGAATGGATGGATGGATGAAGTGGGTAGAGTGACAGATTGATGATAGGTGGAAAGATAAATGGATGGATGGATGAATGGATGGATGAGTGGGTGGATAGAAGGATGTATGTAAGGATGGACTGATCATAGATGGATGGACAGATTGTTATGGGGATGCATGGATAGACATAGATAGATAGATAGATAGATAGATAGATAGATAGAGCCTCACCTCTGTCGGCGTCTGCAGAAGTCTCTTCGTTGTCTGAGGACTCTGGGGACGGACTGTCTCGGCCTGTTTCTGAAGACTGCAGATGAGCCTCCACCATCTTCTGAACAGCTACAGAAGCAGAAGCAGGTTAGTGTGAAACATCCCTCAGCTCTGAGCAGCACAGTGACACAGAAAGACACAAAGAGACAAAGAGAAGTGATGTAACTCAGTGCCTGCTGGTCCAGTCCTGTTCTGAATTGCCTCTGCACAGCCTGCTGTAGTGTTTACACCTGTGCTAATAAAGCTGACTCAGCACATCGCTAAATATCAAGTTGAAAACAGGTGCTCAATTCATTTCAAGCACCACTCATTAACAAGACCTATAAATTTAACAATTACATCAATAAATCAGGGGCTCACAAACAAACATAACAATAAAATACCACTTTATTTATTTATTTAAAATCAGCTACAATTGATTTAAGAGCCTGATTTTTTGAGTATAGACACACACACACACACACACACACACACACACGGACACACTACACACACACACACACACACACACACACTAACACACACACACACACACACCACATACGCGCTCATCAAATAGACCTCCTTGTTTCTACACTCACTGTTTCTGCACTCTACAGTTACAGACTGTAGTCCATCTGTTTCTCTGATACTTTGTCACCCTGTTCTTCAGTGGTCAAGACCCTCATGGACCCCCACAGAGCAGGCACTATTTGGGTGGTGGATCATTCTCAGCACTGCAGTAACACTGACGTGGTGGTGGTGTGTTAGTGTGTGTTGCGCTGGTCTGAGTGGATCAGACACAGCAGTGCTGCTGGAGTTTTTAAACACCTCAGTGTGGCTGCTGGACTGAGAACCAAAAACATCCAACAGCGTCCTGTGGGCAGCGTCCTGTGACCACTGATGAAGGACTAGAGGATGACCAACACAAACTGTGCAGCAGCAGATGAGCTATCGTCTCTGACTTTACATCTACAAGGTGGACTGACAAGGTAGGAGTGTCTAATAGAGTGGACAGTGAGTGGACACAGTGTTTGAAACTCCAGCAGCACTGCTGTGCCTGATCCACTCGCACCAGCACAACACACACTAACACACCACCCACCACCACATCAGTGTTACTGAGAATGATCCACCACCCAAATAGTACCTGCTCTGTGGGAGTCCTGACCACTGAAGAACAGGGTAACAAAGTATGCAGAGAAACAGATGGAGTTCACCAAATAGGCCTGACAAAATGTAGATATAAGGGGATGTACTTAATACAGTAGACAGTGACATATATATACATATATAGATAGATAGACAGATATAATTGCAGTTGCAAATTCAGTTTGTGCCAGAGGGGCAACAAAGCCTGCTAGCATTTTAACACCAGTATGCAAATTTAGCAAATACCGGTTATTTTCAATGCTAACTTAATTGCCACAAATTTGCGTGTTTTTGGTAAGTACAGCTTATTACCCTAATATTACCATGTTATTACCCATTTATTACCAATCTGTAAACTGAAGTGCAACTGAAAAATGCTAACTTCACCATTATTACTACTAAATGGATCCATTTCTTCTTCCTCAGCATCTTCTTCTTGATTTCTCAGTGTTAAATAAAATAGCACAGTGGTGATGTGAAGGTTTCAGTACATTAAATTCAGAGAAAAAATTGACAGTAAAAAAAAAACATGATAACTAAATGTCAACTGCTGGATGTGTAAAGTAGTAAAATGTGGACTGGAGTTTCAGGCAGTGGGGCACACACAATGATCACGTGTTCAAAATGGAAAAAGAAGTTATGATCATTATTTTTCATGGCTTTTATTACTGTTTATTATCGGTACACCAGTATTAATCCCAGTCATAACAATAAGAAATAGTTCACACTGTTAATATTGGGGTTTAAGCAGCCATTTGATGCCCATGTAAGAAGAACAAGGTGCACTATGATATAGTCATATATTACACGCGCTGCAGTCCAAGCCCTGAAACAATGAATCTTTTGTGAATGCGGAGCAGGTCACTGTTAATTATTAATGTGAATTAATTCTTCATCTGCGCCACGATGTCAGCAAACGTCATTAAACACTGATATGTGGTGAATGAAGACTGATGTATCCACGTGCTGCCTTAACTCTCAGAATGAATCATGACTAAATACACTCACTCCTTTTCATGCCGCTGTTCATTATTCATAAATGCTGCTAAAAGTGTATTTTTGACCTAATTAATGTTGCCTCTTGGCATGAACTAATATTTCCACCCTCGCTTGCACAGCCTTAAAATGAGAGTAGAAAAGGCCCAGACACAGTCATTAGTTCCAGTTATCTGTTAAAGAGGAATTCTATCATTCCAGTTTTCAAAATTCCAGCATAATTCTGTCTCAAGTTTGTCTAAACCAGTAACTTCAGGGGTTTAACCCACAGCTGCACATCAGTTTAAACCGGATTGCTCTTTCAAAAAAGCCCAAGTCTATCTGATCAGCCACTAAATATACTATCAAACAGATAAACTATGAAATTATGTCATCATCAGCTAAACTAAAGCAAAACATTCCATAAAAAGTACATATTATGTCATTGAGGGACCCTCAAAGCCTTCTAGGTCTTCAGAGAAAGCCTGATGATTTCCAGGAGCTAAAAACTGCAACTCTGTAATTTTTAAGTTAATTGTTATTCAATAGAATCATAAACTCTGAATAAATTTAAACTCTGTAAATATTACAGTATTACTCGTTTCATTAAGTTTTCAGTGGAAACTAAAGGGTTAAATTTTTTAAACAGCCAGTGGAAAATTGGCCAATCAGGAATTGTTTTTCTCTGTGGTTTTTAGGTACACACTTAAAAATGATGGTTCTTCAAGGGTTCTTTAGTAAAGAAAATGGTTCTGCATAGAACCATGAACACTCAAAGAACCACTTGCATGATTAAAGTGTTCTTTGCTTGGTGAAAGCGTTCTTCAGATTGATGGAGAACGTGCTATAGAGGGTTCTAGATACTCTATATGTATTGAACTTTTGAATTCTTAACTTTTGTAGCACCAAAAAGGTTATTAGGTCTTATGTTGGTATAAGCTTGACATCGTAACAATAGCAGAACCCTTTTTTAATACTTTTTGGTATTATATAGAACCCTTTTCAAAGAGGTGCTATATAGAACCATCTACAGCACATTCTCCATCCATCTGAAGAACCCTTTCATGACGATTTTTGAGTGTTCATGGTTCCATATAGAATCATACTCTTTACTAAAGAGCCCTTGAAGAACTATCATTTTCAAGAGTGTAGATATAGCTAAGTGAGCTGCACCTATTGGTTAGGACTTCAGGAGCTGAACAGAAGTCCTAATGTGTTAGATTGATCATCAGAATTGTTGACTTGTGAAGTTGGAACTGAAGTTATTGAGAATAAACTAGACAGAGTCATGCATTTTGGAGAAGAAGGTTTTTTAAGCCGCTGATCCTCCTGGGTTGCCAGAACCTATCCCAGCGGTCATTGGGTGGAAGGCAGGAAAATACCCTGGACAGGATGCCAGTCCATCACAAAGCAGACACATTCGCTCCTAGGGGTAATTTAGTATCTCTGTTTGGCCTGAATGCATGTCTTTGGGACTGTGGAAGGAAACCCAGGCAGACACAGGACCCTGGTTACCCGGCCAGGGAATTGAACCCAGGCCTGGTTATCGCTGGGTTTATACTGCAGTATATCAATGAAACCGCTAACCGTCTTGTGCCTAGGGGCTACTAAAACTACACTGTCTATAGTGGACATGCAGGGAGAGAGAGCATGTCAGCAGAAGAGCAGAACCCGGTCAGCAGAGTACAGGCCAACAGGAAAAAACTGAGCAGCTTCAGTTCCTTATTAATCACCGCCTCATACCTGGACTGTCATCACTTTCATTCATCAGCCCTCAATGGAGCTGCTCTCAGCCTCCAAGACATTAACTCACTCTACCAGATCAGCTTTATCTTCCCCTCCTCCTTCTTTTTCTCCTTCTTTTCATTACTCCGAGGCCGGAGCCTGGCGAAAGTCACCTTGGAGATTGGCTCGGGTGATCAAGAAAGAACAGAGACATCAGTGTGTCAGAGCAAGACATGGTTTGGAACTGAAAAACTTTTTTATTGTGCAAATGCTACCTGCACACACTGTCCTAACTTATTTGTATTGTTGCTAGGCCTGGACGATTATATCACCCCATTGTTTTTCCACGTAATTACTGGAATAAAAGTCTCAGCACTGAAACTAACTGACCTGCCCATGCGCCGACCACAAATGCATTCTTTTGTAGCTACTGTTGCTAAGTTGGACAGAATGTTGGCCCCATACAACCTAATGAGAAACTGTAGCATGCAAAATACCTAAATTTGGAGTGTGTTATAGAACCCCATTTCCAAAAAAGTTGGGATGCTGTGCAAAATGTAAATAAAAACTAAATGCAATGATGTACAAATCATTTAAACCCTGTCTTTCATTGAAAATGGTACAAAGACAACATATCAAATGTTGAAACTGAGAAATTTTATATATATTTATTTTTTTAAAAACATTGCCCATTTTGGATTTGATGCCAACAACACGTTCCAAAAAAAATTGGGACGGGGGCGACAAAAGACTGGTAAAGTTGTGTAATGCTAAAAAAAACACCTGGTGGTTAATTGGCAACAGGTCAGTAACATGATTGAGAATAGAAACAATCCCAGAGAGGCGGAGTCTTTCAGAAATAAAGATGAGGAGGGGTTCACCACTCTGTGAAAGACTGTGTAGGCAAACAAAGAATAATGTTTCTCAACATAAAATAGCAAAGAACTTTTGCTTTTAATATCATTAAAAGATTCAGAGAATCTGGAGAAATCTCTGTATGTAAGGGACAAGGCTGAAAACCAGTATTTGCTGGCCGTGATCTTTGGGCCCTCAGACAGCACTGCATTAAAAACAGACATGATTCTGTAGAGGAAATCACTGCATGGGCTCAGAAACACTTCTGAAAACCACTGTCTGTGAAAACAGTTCATCACTGCATCCACAAATGCAAGTTAAAACTCTAAAATGCAAAGAGGAAACCAAATATAAACAGGATCCAGAAACGCTGCCACCTTCTCTGGGCCAGAGCTCATTTATCATGTGGTCCAACAAATCAAAATTTGAAATTCCTTTTGGAAATCATGGACACTGTGTCCTCCGGGCTGAAGACCACTCAGCTTGTTATCAGTGCACAGTTCAAAAGTTCATGATGGTATGGGGGGCATTAGTGCACATGGTATGGGTGACATTTGTGAAGGCACCATTAACGCTGAACGATATATACATGTTTTGGCAACATATGCTGCCGTCCAGACGACGACGACGTCTTTTTCAGGGAAGGCCTTGCTTATTTCAGCAAGACGATGCCAAACCACATTCTGCTTGTATTACAACTTTTAGAAGAGTCTGGGTGCTAAACTGACCTGCCTGCAGTCCACACCTGTCACAACTGATAACATTTGGCACATTATGAAACGAAAAATAAGAAAGGAGCCCCTGAACTGTTAAGCAGCTGAAATCCTGTATCAAACAAGAACGGGAAAACATTTCACTTTCAAAACTACAGCAGTGTCTCCTCAGTTCCCAAACACTTACAGAGTGTTGTTAAAGAAGAGGTGATGAAACACAGTGGTAAACAGGCCCCCGTCCCAACTTTTTTAGAACATTTTGTTGGCATAAAATTCAAAAAGGGCATATATGTTTCCAAAAACAATAAAATCTCTCAGTTTCAACATTTGATATGTTGTCTTTGTAGTATTTTCCTTTAAAAATATGGTTTATATGATTTGCAAATCATTGCATTCTATTTTTATTTACATTCTGCACAGCATCCCAACTTTTTTGGAAATCGTGTTGTACATTTCAAAATGTATCAAAGGAGGAGAAAATGAATCTAGCTACACAGATCATGATAACAGCTGGCTAATAAAGAAGCAGTTAGTGTTGCCTAGCTAGTTCAATCAGACATTTACAGAAACTTTAGTTTCAGGAAACTTGTTTGGTGGTCATGGCTCAGGACACTGACTCAGTGAAAAACTACCAACCTTGCATAATTCTGATCAAGATGATCTCATTTTTTAACCATTCAATAAACCATCTTCTGTTCAATTTTCTTGTCCACTGAACCGGAAAAAAACAACCATTTGAAACAATGTTGTTCAGCATGATCATGTGATGTGTAATTGTCATTTTGATGGGCTGTTTCATGAAACTTGTTTCACAAAGTTGAGATGTTTGCAACTGTCGAGTTTCCTGTAAGTTGCAGGATGCTTTGCAATATGCAACCCATGTGAAATTTAGTTTCATGTAGGTTTCAAGCAACTAAAGTTGCATGAAAGTTTCACCAAGTAAAGCCAATGTGTGTGTGTGTGTGTGTGTGTGTGTGTGTGTGTGTGTGTGTGTGTGTGTGCGCATGCGCGTGTGTGTGTGCCTGTCTGGGTTGTTATAACCAGCTGTCAGCTGTGTGTGCGCTGCAGTAATCCCAGATCATCCAGAGTTGCATGAACTCACACTTCAGCTCCACAGCTGGCTGTACCCTCCTAATCCCCTCACACACACACACACACACACACACACACACACACACACACACACACACACAAATGCCCACACCAACCTACCATTTTACAACATAGTGTGGCACACAGACAGAATAGATAGACATACTTTGTGGAAAGCTTTAACATTAAATGCATTTTTTACCCCAAATTAATGTTTTACCAATTTGGAGCTTCAGTTTATTAATTTAAATTTCATAAAAACACTGTAAAGAATTCCCTTACTTTAGTGATGCACTGTGTTCAAGCCAGTAGGACATTTTATATGTGCTTTACACTTTTATACAGCATTCTGTGTTGAATTTCGGGAAAACATTTACAGCCTAGGTTGATTACATTGTATTAAACTTCTTCATTGTATGTCTACTGTAATTATCATAACAATATTGTAATAATACATCAAAACAACAGTGTTAACATGCTTTATTGTAAAAGTAGGAATCAAAAGTACTTTTCCGAAGCAGCAGGACCATCATGTCTTTTGCTTGTTTGCTGTCTAAAAGCATGCTAGCTTAACTAGCTATTTTTGTCATATGTCATCATAAAGTAGAATTAAATGTAGAAACCTTTACTTCACAAGTATCCTTTTCCTTTTTGCATATCTGATTACCACTACTACTAATGCTAATCTCAGCTAGCTGACTCTCAGGCTCTATGGGATTTTCAGTGTCATTTTAGCACCAAGCTAACAGTGGTGTACATTCACTTTCCCACCCTGACATCAATTCCATCCAGCCTGAGCTTAAACAGTGACTTTTGGAGCTTATATAATACATTCATGTAACGTATGTTTTCTTTGTATGTGGCTCATTCTACTGAAATGGCTCGAAGTCAGAATTGAAAAGACATTTTGGACTTTTAACTGATTTAGAACTTAGACTAAAATCCTATTATTTTGAGTCACCCTATGACTTCTTTTAATAAAATGAACGAATAAACATTCTAATTTGTCACTGACAAAACAATGATAACACTACCAAATCTTCACCAAATGTTTCAGTAGTGATGATTTTAGCTCATTTGGAACAGAACTCAAAACGACAGCCAGCAAACACAGCTTAGAACAGCTGTACACACATAAAATATTTTTCATTAAAACACAAAAAAAGTTTACTTAATTGCAGAACATGTGTTTCGGTAATGACAATTTTCAATATTCCACAATGATTGTCAGACTTTGGGACATATTTACTACAAAACAATGGGATCTAACTGCTCACCATGTGGCCATGAGGGACAGGGATGCAGCCTCACTTCCTGTTCTAAAATGCTGGGGTGTGGCTAAAATAAGGCTCTGCCTACAGACTAAAACCCTGTGTTTCAGTAGTGACATGAAAACGTGAATTTTGATTTTGGGACATTCAGAGGGTCCAAGAGGTTAATTAGGGAGTCCCAGACCCCCCAAGACCCCCCTGTATATCGCACCTTGGTCTTAACTGTAAACGACCATTTCAGTATGAGTGCTGTAAATATGAATTGCATAACTACTTGTCAACTCTACTCCCAGTAAGTTATTGCAAATGTACAGTAACGTTCAGAGACGTTGGTATAACTTGGTAAACTGAAGGTTTTTTTCTGTAAAGTTCTTTACCTTTGAGTGATGGGGGCTGATAGACGGCTGTGTTGACTCGTTTAGCCTTCAGAAGTCCGTTTTCACAAACAGCCAACTGCAAAAGAATCAGATTCCACCCTTCAGTCCCTTTAGATAAATGTCACATGTGGTGCTATAATAACAGCATAATGAATCTAAAATATAAAACATCATGCATCACAATGAAGAGTCACATGCAGAATAAAAAGGATCCAATGAATTTGATATGTATTTGTTTATAATGCAAACTATGTGAAACTAATGAGGAATCCTGCAAGAAAATAGACAACAAAGAATGGAAGTTGGAAAATATGTGAAATATGTGAAAATACAGAAAAGTCTGTTCATTGAAAACTCTTAAAAAAGGAGAAGTTAGAGAGTTAGAGAAGTTGCTTTTGCAAAATGGTAAGAAATGATGACAAATATCCACTTTCAGATCTGAAATGTGCTCTCAGAAGCTTCAGAAAGCACTCAGTAATCCTCGGTGTGGCATTTCCGCCAAAGCCCAACTTGGACTTCAGCCTTATGTATTACATAATACAGCTGATGGACGGTCTAACCTGATGACTTGGATTCTCTTCCTCTGGAGACGGATGGTCAGTCAGTCGGAAGAGGGTGGCCGGCGTTGGTCTCCGTCGCCGAATCTAATTTGGGAACAGAAATAATCCTTTATTGCGCAAGTAAATGTATTACATGCTAGCGGTAATGTAATCAGCTATTGCCTTGTGATAACCATCTTTCTGGCCTGAGAAAAATGCTTCTTGTATCCTTTGTTTCCAGCAATGTAAAAACATCGACATGCTCCTGGCTCACTTAATCTTTGCATGACAAACTACAGATGGGTGACAAAAGAAAAAGCTGAAAAAATAAGTGGAGAAACATAATGAGTGCAGATGTTTCCAGACAGGTTCCTGAATGACACAATTACACAACATCCTACCGTGATTGCGGCATGTATATAAAAGCTGAGCGAGCCCAGCTGACTTTGACTTTATATCAAGAAGAAAAGATCTAAGTGCTGTTGAAAGTATCCGTTATTAGGGCTTGGATGGCAGGTGCTTCAGTCATTGCTCAAAAGGCTAGTGGTCCAAAAGGAACAGAGATTAAAGTGATCTGCATTTAGATCTATGTTCGAAAGAGAACACTCAATGATGATGATGCTTGTGCAGTAGCGCAAAAGGAAAAACAGAACAGCAACTGTTCCTTAAGGGACTGAGAATGACGTTCACCGTCACTTTTCAGACAAACTGGAGGTTTTTATCAGGCCAATAAGAGATACACTGTTAGAAATAAAGGTTCTGTGCAGGTACATTTTTTTGCTTATCAAGGTACAAACAGTGTAAATGTTCCCTCAAAGCTCCAACAGTGGTTTTAAGGTCTGATTGTGAACCTTAAATAAGGTTTTCCAGGTGAAAAGTTCGTATTTGTACCTTTTCATAACCGAATGTTTTAAAACAGAACAGTAAAATAAAAGCCTGGAGTCGAGACGGGGTGTGTGGAGTCAGTACAGCTTAGAACATATCATTTCAGTGGATTATGGTTGTTATGTTCCCTGACTAAAGGTACTGAGATGAACCCTTGAGGGTTCCACACCAGTGACAAGAGGGGCACTGACCCAGTGACAGTTTAGTACCTTTAATTCTGAGATTACCAAAACATGAAAAGAGTTTCCTGAATTCATTGTCAGTGTTGCATATTCGGATTTCTTTCCTCAGTAGCTTTTAAATGGTGAATGTAAAATGTTTAATGTGTGTAAGTATCATTGGGCCTCATTAACTAATATCTTGCTAAGAATTTTCTTAATAATTGTTAACATAATGCATTATAAGTAGTGTTAATAACATGTTATAAGAACTTGTAAGTTGTATTTGTCAGCTCTAAGTAAAGAGTGAGGCTTCAAGTTGAAGTATTTGCTGAAGGATCTACAACATACAAAGTAAAGCACATTACAAGCTTCAAATGTCTGATTTTAAACTAGTGGTGTCATCAATGGTGTTTAACCCGATGTGGGAAAGTCACTGTTCACCACTGTTAGCTTGGTGCTAACTTAACACTGCATATCCAATAGAATGCTAGCAGAAATTAGCATTACTGTAGTGCAGTGTAGTGATGTTACAATTTCACCCCGAATAACTCACCTCTCACTCTCCATGCCTTCACATGGGTTGCTGTAATGTAATGTGAGAGTGCTGGTTAATGTAAGCACATTATATTAATAACTCTGGGCTGGACTGCTTGTTTGGGGCATCTGAATATTTAGGATTTTAGCCCCAAAGGTGCAGCCCAAACACTCGTGGTGAGAAATTAAATATTAAAAATTCCATGGTGTAAATAAACTTCTAAAAATCTTAATTTACACTCAGCAGGCTATAAATAACTTCTTTGGAACTGACAATATAATGTTAATTATTATTATTAACACTATAAAGCAATTAAGCATTAACAATTCATAATGCACAATAAACAATACATGGCTATAAAGTGTAACTGATTTTTTATACATATTTATAGCCATGTTTATAATGCCTTACTAATGCATCATAACATGTTATGAATGTGTTTATGAATGCTCATAGATGTGGTATTCATAGGAAGTGTTACCAAAATTTCTTCTTAAGAACAGTTGGAGAATGAGGCACCTTGTTAGCAATCAAGACAGTTTTCATTTAGTTTTTATCTGAAATTGATGTAAAACAATGTGGACTGTCATAACCTCTATGGGAGCCAATTTACTGTCTACAAATTACATTGCAAGTGGCGATCATCGGGGTCCAAGCACTATATGCCACAATGGAGCCAGTAGAATGCAAATGATGGACAAAGTTTTTAGAATGACCTCAATTTATAATAGATGTGGTGCCTCAAAATATGTTTACCAAATTTTGTTTTTGTATGAAAGGCCTCAATTTTTTTAACAAATAAGACAACATGCCTAGAAAACTGCATTTTATGGGCATAACATATTTTCAGAGTCATTACACTAAATAATCTAAACAATTACACAGCAGTTACTCCTGTATTTTAGTCTCAGAATGCACAAGAATGTTCATGCTAAAAACACAAAAATGTTCTCTTAGAAACAGCACTGCCAGACCCCACCTCAGGAGGGTCCCTGCATATTATTAAAGAGTTATTAAGACAAATCACCTTCATCCTATGATGAAACATCTCTATCTTGATGGGAGTGGTATCTTCCACCTTGCTGGCATAGAGACTGTAGCTTGTCTGTTGATGTACAGTTTGTGTTACCCATTCTCTGGCCCATCAATATTGGTCAGTTTTTAATGAAACAGCTGCTCTTGTCTGGATACTTTTGTTTGATGGACAACTCTCAACCTAGCAGTGATGCCCCAAAGATATATAGTGGGTCTCTAAAGTAAGTGGAGCTTATGAAGTGGACAGTTAGTGGAAGTACAAGGTCGATGTTTCTAATGAAGTGGACATGAGTGTATGTAAAACTTCATTAAAGCCCAGAACAAAAGAATATAAAATGGTTCCATCTGTTCTACTCCAGTTTGATTGAGCTTATGTAATGATTAGATCACTCTATTGAAAACTTCAATATGCTCTTGCCATCAAATGATCCATCACCGTATGAATAACTGATCAAGATTGAAAGGACAGCAGTCATGCATTAAGCCACAGTTGCCAAATCAGGCTCACGGATTATCGTCACATATCCATAAGCACCGGACCATAATCCTCAGCAGTGTGTGGGTGGAATCTAATCGACATGTCCATCCATCGTATAGCCTAGTCGCCAAGGTAACAAAGCAGACAGGAAATATGGAAAACGGAGTGACGCATTTGAACAGTGAGGAGTTTGTGGCACCCGGGGTTACATAAATCCGTGATGACTTCCTGTTTCAGGGCGAAATAGAGCAGAGATAGAGGGATTAGCCTGGCTGCTATTTTGCTCCCGTCCCCTAATCGTGCTCTGTTATGTCTCTCGGGCGTAATCTGTGTTGCATTTCCAGTCCTGGCCAAATTTCGCTTGGCAGATTTTGCCCCCTGGTAAACACTGTAATCCAGCAAAAGGGGCAATGGACATGGCAACAGAATTGTCCTATTATATAGACATTGTGCACAGACAATAAACATCCTCGAAAACCAGAGTTCCAATTCCAAAATAGCCCAGATCCACCAAATCTCTTCAACAAACAGCCAGTATTATCTTGACTTGGATATGACTGGCTGTCCAAAACTCAAGAATAGCCGTTAGGCCTGGATAACCTTCAGAAGCCACAGGTTAGCACTGCCAATAACAAATGGATGTTCTAATTTTATATATTCTAATTTCAACAGCTCCAAAGTTCAGTCTTAGAAGTTTTCTTCATCTCTTAATCCAAGTAATCCCAAACACACTCATTGATGTTCTGGTGTGGTCAGTCCACTGTTCTGGCAGCTTCTTTGCTTAATTTGCAAACTTTACTTTTCTTTTCTCAGTAAGGGCTTTTTAACAGCATTCTTCCAGACCCAAAGCACCATGTATAGGGTGGCCAGGGCCCTCACCTGAAATCTGATTGGCCACCCAAGGTGCCACCCCAAACTTTCTGCCACATCATTGGCTTCCACCTTGCTGTGGGTTGGGTGTTTGAACCTTTAAGAGGAGAGGGGGAATAAATCTGTCCATAACCACCACCCACTCTACCCACTTGACCCCCAAACGCGATTGGCGACGGGGTGAAATTGGCGAACAGTGAAGGATGTCAAATTTGGCTCCCCCTCACACTTTATCATCACGAGTATTCCTCTTCTTTAATTCTTTGCCTTTAAGGTGAAAGTGAATTCGCGGTCAGTGGTTGACGAAAGAGCTGCTTACACTTTTTCTTTTGACTTTTATTTTCTTCCTTCTGCAAGTGGATTATCTACATCTAATCTCCTCAGAAATATCTCCAGAAAATGAAACACTTGTAATTCATGTTCATCTTGACTAGAAATTATGTGCAAACAAAGAATTACATTGTACAAGATAAACTGCTTTGTGTATCAGGCCCCTGTTCATCATTGGTCAGTTTCTGCTGTTGACTGGACATTATTTGGGTCATGGACCATCCTTGGCAAAACAGGGACATGGTAGCAGATGTACAAGTGTTTATACACACTGTTCAGTTTTCATCTTTATGTAAGTGTACAAATACCAGATCTCCTAAATCAGGGGTCGGCAACATGTCGCTCTGGAGCTGCATGCGGCTCTTTTACTGCCCTGTTGTGGCTCCACAGCAGAATCAGATTTGTAGGTAAAAATAAAATAATCCTCCTTTACAGTAAAATAAAGCTCTGCTGATCGTTCAACACAGTTTAACAATAAATGGTCTTAAACTCTGGAGTTAATGTAGAACTGCTGATTCACCCTTTAACCCTGAAGATCAGCGCAGACTGCTGGTCAAAAAAGCAACACAGACAAAAATCTCACCTAGCTAGTAGCAAACGAAACAGCAAAGAGAAAGATTTAAGATGAACATCGATAATTTGGAGACGAATGGACTTATTTGTGTTTATAATCACTCCAGCTGGTTTCCTGATACGTTTAATCTGCAACAAGAAACTCACAAACATTAAAAAGTCACAAAGCTGATCAGTTTCTCATTCGCCAGCTTCTTGTTTGATTTTTCCCGTTCCACCTTAAATTGTGCAGTAGCTA